GGTTATAGATTATATCATGGCACCTTCTCTTTAGGGGTACGAGAATGTGACCTGAATTTTGGGAACTACACTGTTCTTGAAGTTAGGGTTGGGGTTTGCAGTTTACTTTAAGTTTCAGAGCTTACAGTTGTAGGGCTGAAAGGTTGAAGGAAAGGCTCGGAATTTGGGGAGTTAGGATGTACCATTTAGGGCATGATTTGTGCTTGAGACGAGGCTTTTCGGGGAACTTCACCGGACTTTGTGCATCAAAGTGTGCAGGACTTGTGGACATGCTTTTGGAATCTGGGCTTTAGACTCTGATCCTTAACATCTAGACCTCAGATACCAAATCCGGAAAAAAAAAAAAAAAAANNAAAAAAAAAAAACAAAAAAAAAAAAAAAAAAAAAAAAAAAAAGCTGGAGTCCCTCCCCTCCATCATGCTGAAGCACATGTTATGAGCCCTGATACTTTCAATACTTGTGCGATTGCTCACACCTGTGTTGCTTCATGTGAACCAGAAACCCCCAGTCGTCATGTCTAGGAACCCCCGAAAGGGGCATGGGATTCCAAGGATCGGCCGCATCCCAGATGGTGAGGTGGCGGAGGTGCGCAGCGTCAAGGAGATCATGGAAAAGGTGCAAGCGCAAATCGGGATATCCCAACACTTGGGGTTCAGAAAAGGCGTTTAGATTTATGTGGCCTTAACATTTAGAGGTGTGTAGGGCATGGTGGTTAAGAGTTTACGACGAGTTGGGGTTCAGGATTTACGGCTTAGGCTTGCGGGTTCGGAGTTTAGGACTTCAGTCAAGGGTTTGGAGTCTACAGTTTGTCTGGGCAAATTATCGTGAATTCACCTGACCTGAAAAACATCCGAATTGTACAGCATGCAGATTACCGGAAAAGGACTCCTTTTAGGTAAGAGACCATACTAACTTGGCTGGAGAATTATCATCTCTTTTTTGGGGGACTGCTATTCTGCGTGTCCTGTTGCTTTAAGAGCGGTTGTGCCTTGATCCCTAAATCGCGTGTATGGAAGTCTTACAGTAGGGGCCCCAAACAGGCTCCAGGCCAACAAAAACCGCTCTGAAGAAGATATCCCTGCCTACCATCCCCAAACAATCCCTACAGAAATCCTCCCAGAAACCACAACAGAAGTGCCAAGAAAGATCGCACCAGCAACCCGCACAGAAATCAAAAATCAGAAATGGCCGTTTCAGACCCCAATACAGAAGAATCATTACAATCCTTGGTTTTCAATGACTCCCAAAACGGGACGCCTAATTTCTGGTACTCCCTAATCCTCTCGCTAAACCGTAATCCCTAAATAGTAGCTTCCACTGTCTGTTCCATGACCCCTATGTATGCCTAGTAACCCTAAATCGCAGATTCCATGTTCTTTTCAAAAGCCTGAGGTCAAGCAGGGATCCTCTCTGCTGGCCTCCGGTGACGCCCACGCTGGAGGGGCGCTGCTGCTTGCAGCTTTTAAATGCCCTTCATGATCCCTGGATCAGGGTTTCAGGGTTAGGGGCTTAGGGATTTAGAGTTAAGGGCTTGGGCATTTAGGGTTAAGGGCTTAGGGATTTAGGATTATGGGCTTAGGTGTTGAAGGCTTAGGGAGTTAGGCTTGAAGGCCTGGACATTTGGGATTTAGGGCAAGGCTGAAGGGCTAATGAAGGGCCCAAGGACTTGGGAGTTTGGCTTAGGGATTTCCCTTCATCCATCCATCCATCCGCCCATCCATCCATCCATCCATCCATCCATCCATCCATCCATCCATCCATCCCCATGCGCTGTATTACTATATTTATGTATGCACGTATGTATGTACATGCATACATATGTAGGTCCGTTTGAATGCATGTATGTGTGTCTGTGTGTACGTACGTATTTATGCATTGTATGCGTGTATGCATGTATGCATTGTATGCAGGTATGTATGTATGCACGCATGCATCTATGCATGTATGCACGAACTGTTGTACTGTATTGTATTGTATTCTATTGTATTGTATTCTATTGCATTGTGCTGCATTGTGTTGTGTTGCATTGTATTGTATTGTATGGTATGGTA